GCCTGACTTCCTGTTTGACTCATCTGGTCTGTGATATTGATATTTCTGATCTGATCTGATATTTCTGATATCCATCAGAAATAGACCCGGCACGTATTTTTAGTGGAGCGGAGTGCCGAGCCGCTTCTAGGCCATGGCTGGTGGAGCAGCTTACATTGCCTTGAATGGCCACTATTAGCTCCAGCACCCGTGCCTCGGCTGGATCGCGCACACCATGGTTCCAGTGGGTTACCATAAATGGGGCTGTCCCAGAGGCATTCAACTACCAGAGGGCTTTTGAATTCTTATTTTCAAAGTCCCATAAAATGAAATGCTCTGATTCAGGGTGCCATACTTTCAAATTGTAAGGGAGGGAGGGATGGAAGCAGTAATTTGTGTCTGTGTGAAATTAATTTGAGTCTTACCTTTTGTTTACTTTTCGTATTGCATATTTTGTATTGTTTTGCGTATCTGTAACTGTGTTTGTGAGGGAGAGAGTTTTAAAAGAATATTTTGTCTGCACATGATTTAAAATAATAAAATAGCCTTCCAGAGGCAGATCAGTACGTCAGTCATTTTTCTTTCTATAACTGAAATGTTTAACCACTAATTCGTATTTTAAGTGTAACCCTTCACCATAACATACCACTAGTGTTCAAGCACAAAGATTAGGCATATTCTGCCATCATAACTTGGCCCTCAGAATTCACCAGACTGATGCCTTTAAATCAAATATATACAAAATTTTCTCCCAGGGGAGCATGCCCCCGGACCCCCCTACAGGGTTGGATGTAGCTAGTCTCCAAAAATCCTGTGGGAAACACTGATATCTTTCTATCTATCTATCTATCTATCTATCTATCTTTCTATCTATCTATCTATCTATCTATCTTTCTTTCTATCTATCTATCTATCTATATCTATATCTATGTATATATACACACACACACACACACACACACACATATCTTATTGTTCAGACTTAGATATTTGACCCTACTTGTAGGTGTGCCCCTGTATCAAAAGGACTGGCCCTAGCTTTGCCCCCCCCCCCCCCACTGAAACTGGCCTAGAACCACCACAAACTTATATCATATTATATATCATGTTCCTATGTAGGAGGGGTGGTGGGACCATTTGCATATGTGCCCAGGAGTCACTGGGCTCATAATTCACCTGTGGTTATTTTACATCTGGATTTGCATGAAACTTACCTTTCTAGACCTTTCTCTTTGGTTCTCATTGCCTTTAAATGGGGAAGTCATGAAAATGTTTTCAATGTCTTGTATCATGTAGACACACACAGCACTCATACCCCTGCAGAGAGACACCAGACACAGAGGTCAGCAAATGTACACAAAAGACATCTGCTGCTACAACAAAATGTTGTAAGGTCAGTAAAGATTTCGAGCCGCGTTGGTAAAATCTGTCAAAGAGCTGAGCAGACAGGGCTGAGTTTAGAAAGGGGAACTTAACTTGACCTGCTTGTCAAGAGGAAGCATGAATAAAATAAGACTATTAGAGACAAAGGAAAAGTAAGACAATAAGAAAAAAAGAACCAGTTCTGTCTGATTTACATAATCTCCAAAGTTTAGGGAAATGTATCAACTGTACAATGGTTTGCCCATTTTGTCAATTTAAGAGTTACATTTCTCTTGTTTTACTTCTGTGTAAACAACTGTTCTCAGGCGCACTCAGTGGCTCAGTGGCTCAGTGGGTAGGGCAGGCCTCCTATGTACAAAGGCAATACACCTACGCGCCTACTGCAGCGGCAGTATGCGCTTCGCTGCATATCATCCCTTCTCTCTCTACCCATTTCATGCTTAATCTGTCCTGTCAACTAAAAGAGAAAAAGCCAAGAAAACGGCAACTGTTTTCAGTTTTTATTCCCATCTCATGATAGTTTAGGGTTATGTCCTTTGGTTAAACTGGCTGACACATCAAGTGACTGCTGTTCTATGTAAAGACACACAACAACAGCAAAGTCATTCTGGTTTTTACCTCACGTCATTGTGGCTGACTAATGTTATGATCCCGGCAAGAATGCAACATGTGAAGTCCAGAATTTTACCAAAATGGGTCATCAGTAAAGTTTGGATTACATTTTGAAAAAGCATAACATTTGATAAGGCCAATGCTAAAGTTACAATCATACTTGAGTACATATGCTATTAAATGCTCGAGACCATTTATTTTGTCCCAACATGATTCAAACTTGAAATGTAGCACTATTATAAAACTTTACAAAATGCTTTCAACTCTTTCATGAAAACATGTATTATAATGGAGTCATACCATTCATTTCTGAAGAGTGCATAAATCCTGGTATCCTGCCAAAGGTGTGCATGCACAGTAGCCACATCCACCAGCTCAGAGAAATGCTGTCTGCTGTCAGGGTCTCCACAGTAGAGCCTGGCATTCATCTGAGACGTCCAGCTAAACTGCAGGTTGTTTTTGCGACCACCACGATCTTTCTAGAAGCAATGCATAGACAAGCAATCGATCAGTCCTTCATATTGTATATGTAGTAGCTACTTTGTGCACATATATCTGATGCTGAAATTTGTTTTTATTCATGAAAAAGTCGAGCTCAAAATTTTAAAATTAAAAGCGTAACCATAATTCCTAATTATGCAGGTCTTACCATGCAAACCTGGGTCACAAAAGGGAGCCACATTTCACTGCCCAAGCCTGTCTCTCTGTTTTTCTCCTTATAGAAGGCATAGACTTTGCTCTGCCGGGGATCATCTATCCGTTTGATGAGCACCAGGCCCACATAGTACTGCTCTAAAGACAGAAAGAAATGTAAATATTTGTCTAGCTTCAGAACAAATGAAGTTTCTTAAGTCCTTGCAGAAAAACAAGCTCTCTCCAGGCAAGTACCTTTATCACTGCTTGCAGGTGCAAGTCTGTTTTCCCCAAACTTGTGGATGCCAACAAACTCTCGAGATCCAGAGTATGTAATGTAGAGATCACTATCTAATGATAATGAAAGACAACAGAAATTATTAGTTGGTTTTTTGTTTTTTTTTTAGTTATTAATTTTTTAGTAAGCAGCACTGCTGTGTTTTCAATTTGCAGCAAGTTCATATTCCAGAAACCAGTTTCTCATGTATGTAAAATTACAGATAAGCACAACCTGTGTGAAAGCCATAATGTGTCTGTATTGATGCCAGTGTGAGAAACTGGAGTCTGGAGTGAGTAGAAGGTATGAGCAGGTAGCACCAGCACAATGTCATTAGTAGCAAAGAAGGCGGCAGAATCATCTGAAAGTGTTGAGCTGAGTAAAGCAGGTCAGTGTTGCTGTAAAGAGCATAGAAATCAGATAGCAGAGTATCATCAGCATAGAAAAAATACATTATGTACAGAAACATACCGACAAGAACAGAGGGTTCACCTTCCTTTATGACAAATTCATTTATGCTTGTTTTTATGTCCTCTGTTTCAGGTAAGGTAATGCAGCTGGGTGACTCCACTGCTAAATTCTACAAGAAAACACAA